ACTCCTTCCTTCCTTCATCCCTTCTTCTGGCCTTCCTTAGGGTATAACTTTAAGTTTGCCTTTGAATATAGCCTTTTTCTTTCATTTTTTTCACAACTGATAGAAGCATATTCAGTTTACTAAATTTTAAATCCTTTTAAAATTTATTTTATTTTTATTAAATTTATTTTTTTTTATTTTTCTATTTGGTTGTGTGTGTGTGTGTGTGTGTGTGTGTGTGTCACATGCACATGGAGGCCTGACACTGATGTGGAAAATCCTCTCAGTCAAATCCAGAGCTGACAGATGAAACTAGTTTTACTGAAGAGACACTGTGGGACAAAGGATTAAACACACATCACTCTTAGACAGCACTTTCCAACACAAAGATCCTTTATTAGGCAAGAGAGAAAGGAGACAGGGTAGCTGCATCTGAATGAGGCAGAAACAGCAGCGAGTGTCTCTGGAGTAGTAGTTCTTAAGGAAAAAATGGGGATTCTGTGGTAGGGTAAATTGGTAAGCCTTGCCTGGATGTGATGGTCAGTGTAGTCAAATAAGGAATGTTGATAGCCAGACCTTCGAAGTCAGATTCAGGAATAAGGAAGTGACCAAATATGGGAGACTAGTGGCTTGGTACAGGAAAGAAGAGAGAAAGTGCTCTCTTAAGAGCAGCTTGTTTGCTCTTGTTAGAGCTCTTTACTTACCAGAAAGCTACCGGGGATCCCTTGTCTCAATTCCTTCTGAGGCTGGAGTTACAGGATGTCAGCCACACCCACCTGGAACTCTGGATTTCTGGGGAATGCAAACTCCAGCCCTCACACTTGCCATTACACATGCTTTAAATAGTGACCATCTTCCTAGACCCCAGTTTGTAATTATTTTAATGATTTTTATTTAATCATATTAGAAATAATTAGATATTTTATGCTTTTGTTGGTTTATATACCCATAGATTGTTAATATTTATCTTAAAGATGTATTTATTTTTAGTGTTTGAGTTTTTGCCTGCATAAGAATATGTGTACCACGAGTGTGCCTGGTGCCCACAGAGGACAGAAGCGAGTTAAATCCCTGGAACTGAAGCATAGATGGTTATAAGCTGGCTTGCAAGTGTGAGAACTGAACCTGGGTTCTCTGCAACTGCTCTTAAGTGTTGAGCCATCTCTCCAGACCCTTTTGAAATAACTTAAATGAATTTAATGCTTAGGTTCATCAATCTTTACTTTTTAATAAATGATCAAATATTGACATTATCTGCTTTGTTTCTATATTGCTCTCATAAAATAAATTTTCTAATTTTACTAAAGTTTATCAAATTTTTCTCACAGACATTACACTGCATAGTATATTAATTTTTTCCTAAGGCTTCATCACAGCCAGTAATTTGCATTAATAGATTCTTTCAGCTCTGTCAGTCTTATGAGAGATGAGACTTTCATGTTGTTTAACATGCATTTCTCTGGATGCTAGCAAAATGAAATATGTTTCCTGTGTTACTGACACTTAGCTTGTCTTAGTATTCTCATACATACCAGAGTTGTAATTGATTTCTCCCGATCTCTGGACAGTTTTACTTCCTTAATAGCATATTTTGATATACTGAAGCTTTAGTTAAACACACACATTACTCTGTTTTACAGTTTCCACTTTTTACAAGTGACAAAATTCTTCCTTACCTTGAAGGTCACTAAACTGTTCATGTATACTTCTCTCTCCAAAGTTTAATGTGGTTTTTCCCCATCATGGCGTCTTTAGAGTATGGAGCAGAGATCCAGGTTTATGTATTTCCACATGAAAATGATGCCACTGTGGGCTCTTTCCCTCCATCAATCTGTGTTGGCAGAGCTATCAATATCCACCCACCCCCCTACACACACAGACATATACCTGAGCTAGTCTATGCTGGTAATACCTTTCTCCTCGGAACTAGCTCATTAGCTTTGTTAGAAGCTTTATGAGAGGGGAACCATCCCTTTTAAAACGTGCACAGGCACACACGCCCTCGCGCACGTGCACACACACAGACACACACACACACACACACTCCAGATCTCCAGGTTTTTTGCTTCTCTAAAATTGACCTAACAATTCTAAGCAGAGTGACGTGTTCTGACTCACAGTTTATAGCTAGACTGTTGAGGCTGTTGAGTAGAGAATGGTGAAGTCAGAGAAAGTGAGCAAGGAGTGGCCTGAGCTCTGTCCTTGAACAGATGAAAGGGGAAATAAGAGGAACCTGCTTTGGAGAGCCACATACACAGTTTGTCTACAGTGACAACAGCAGGGAATTTGAGTACAGACTGTGATGGGTGTGAGCAGGGTAGTGACAGCTGTGGGAGTCTATTTGAGACCCCAGTGAAGGTGGGGTAGTAGAAGGCTGGGATTCTCTCTTGGTTGCTATCATCTTCTCAGTTCCTGTTTCTCCTGATGACTTCACTCAGGAGAGGCAAGCAATCAGAGGAGATGAAGACCCTCTCTCTCTCCCTCCACTCAACAACTAAGAACACTGGCCAACACTGACAAGTATGTGGTACACAAGCATACATGCAAATACCCATATACATTTTCTAAGAAACATATGATGAGTTTAAGGAGAAAAAAATGGCAGAAAATTGTTTTTCAGGAGCACAAGAATCTAACTGATTCTCTGAAACCATTAAGAATTTGAGTGATACCAGGTGGTGGAGCACATCTGTAATCCCAGCATTTGGGAGGAGTAGGTAGGCAGATCATGAGTTTCAAAACCATCCTGGTCTACAGAGCTAGTTCCAGAACAGCCAGTGCTGCACAGAGATACCCTGTTTGGAAAAACATAAACAGCAGCAGCAGCAGCAGCAGCAGCAGCAATGACGACAACAATATAAACCCAAAAAAGTAAAACAGTGTGAGGGAAGCTGTCCATGGTGGCTCAGGATTTCAGAAGCAGACCCAGGTGAGTTCTAGGCCAGGCTGGTCTAGCCACTGAATTCTGGTCTAAGAGGGTTGGTTACATGTTGAGAGACCCTGTCTTAGAGAGGTGTGGGGAGAGAAAGGGGAGAGTGAGAGTGGAGACAGTCTTAACTTAAAGCTCATTTACAGGACTGTGTTTTTCGTTTACCTGTACAGACAAGAGGAGTTGAGTTTAACCAAGGTTCTGGTTTACTAATTTGATTAAAGTAAAAGATGGTAAAATAAATAAATAATTCCAGGTGTAGATGATCCTTGTTTTATAATAAAATGATGTCTCAACAACCCCATGTATGTTGAGTATACTATTCAAACCACACACTCTATGACATACATACCAAACAATGTATTTTCATAAAATACAAAACTGGTTATTTCCCTGCATGGTTGCATGTCTCATGGGTCACTGTGGCTCAGTTTCATGAGAGTTGGATATAGCATATTGATTAAAATCTCAAGATCTGAGGTGTAATTTTTACACCTCAGATGTTATTTCATAAACATAAAGAAATAAAATTGAAATTTATAAATCCATTATATTAGCCTATACTTCCCTATACATTTATATAAACCATATATATATATATATATATATATATATGAATGATACACACACATAAATATCTCACCTGAGTATTAAAGGAAGTGAAGTGATGATGTGATAATGGGTAGGTAATCTAAGCAAGATAAATGTATTATCTTGTTTTCTACTGCTTTGATAAACACCATGACTGTTAGGATTATGTAGTAAAGGCACCTTGGTGGGTCTGGACCAAGGTGTGCCAGTAAGAGATCACATCATGCCATAGATCTAATGCAAGAGGTTTATTGGGAGGCAGGAGGCAAAAGGGGGGAGAGAGAGAGAGGGAGAGGGAGAGGAAAAGGGAGAGGGCGACCATGCAGGAGACAGGAAGATTAAGAGAGGGTCATGATGTGGAGAGACCTTTCAAAGAGTGGGCACATGTAACATATAAAAATACCCAGAATTTACAGCCCCAGTGGAAATGCACTGAACCTGGCAGTGGAGTGGAGCAGAGTGATGATGAAAGTTGCTGGTGCTGAGCCACTGAAGGCAGAATGTGAGAATCCCGGATTTACGACAATGACCAAAAGCAACTTGAAGAGACAACAGTTTATTTGGTTTACATGTTTACATTTCCAGATCTCAGTCTATCACTTAGCAAAGTCAGGGAAAGAACCAAAGAGAGAGCAGAGGCAGGAATCATGGAGGAAAGCTGTTTACAGACTTGCTTCTTAGACTCATGTTCAGCTACCCTTCCCCACACTGCTACTTTTTAATCCACCAAATCTGGTATACTTATTTCTGGGTAAAGCAATGAATTCACATGGGATATAGAAAAAAATGGTAATTATTAGAAATGAGCAGGAAAAGGTTATTTATGATTAGGAGAATTTTGCTTCTGACTATCAACATTCAGAGTATTTCATACTGTCTTGATAATGATGAACACATGACTCTGAAATAGCCTACCTTTTTCCTCTAGGGAGTCACAGTGAAATGACCTTCTCCTACAGTGGTAAACGCTAAAACAACTTATTTTGTAATGCTATTTTAAACATTGAGACAAAATCATTTCTGTTGTAATAAAATATGCCCTTGGAAATTTAATGAATTTTTATAAAAATATATATCAGTATAAGCCAGAGAGATAAGAGTTATAGAGTTTGAGACATCTAGGAAGACTCAATCCAGATTATAATTAGTCAAATTGATGAAAACTGCTAGCAGGACAACAATCTCTGAGTCATACTTGAGGTTCCCTTGAGAAGTGGGTGAGGGAAAGACTCTTAAAGGTTGTCCTTCCTGACAAAGGTCAGGTTGTAACAAGGATCTTAATTCTCTCCCCTTTTTTACTAGAATTCACACACCATCATCTCTAAGAGGCTCTGTGTTTCAAAGCCAAACCCTGTCTTTCAAATTCAGATGAGAGGGTCTGAGAACCTCCAGTTTCTTCTTGGGATTTAAGACTGAAAAACACATGTCTATAGTATGAAGACAGCCATCATGGAGATTTGTATATAAGAACCTTATGATTCACAGAGCCATTTTCCCACAGGTTTAAAAAGATTGTCTACAACTATCGAATCTTCAGAGAGAAACATGGATATTACACTATGCAGGTAAGACTACCTAAGGACCACCATAGCAAGTGTGGGAATTAGGGAAAACCTGAAGTGGTCTCTTGAACCTTTGATGTGACCATATGGAGGCTTTCAAGGACAAGAGTACCATCCCAAGATTGGTAAGCAGTGAGCTTTGTCTCTCTCTGAGAGAAACAGGCCAGTGCCGGATTTCTGTTCCATGTTTTAATAATCCTAGCTGTTCTTCCAGACCATAGAGGCAGCCATGCCCACTATTGTACAGGTGAAACAAATGGACCTGGACTGCATTTTGTACAACCATGTGGAGTTGCCAAGGACCAGCTTCGGCTTGGAAAGGGGTTCTGAGGAAGGGGTGTTTGGGAGCAGCAAAATGAGTAACTTGAAGTCCAAGTGTGGGAACAAGCTGACAGCCTGCATTCTGTTCTAGAGCTCAGCTCTCCTAGAACAAAGCCCAGTCTTTTATTTACATATCAATTCAATTTTCTATCCTATTTTTCCCTCTGATTATTCCACCAATCAGTATTTTTTTGACCTTAGCTCCTTGACTCCTTGGAAAGACAGCAAGCACATTTTTTTTTTTAAACATTGCAAATGAATTCAGAGATCTGCCTACCTTTGTAAGCACAAACACTAAATTTAGTTGGGTGGGATCCCATCCTGAGATTACTCTTAAGACCATGCCTGAACTTAAATTCATTCTGTCTCAAGCTAACCTTGAAGTTAGTAATCTGTCTGCCTTTGTATCTGAAAAGCTGTAAGATAAATATCTTTTTATAATAAGCTATAATGTAATATACACAGACATACGCACACACACACACCACACACACAATTTTTGTTCTAATACAAACAAGCCTGTTACCCATCTTCTGTCAACAATTATGGAGGCCCATGATCTGCTGCTGGCTCCGTTCCAGGGGTGGGAACAATGTCACACAGTCCCATCCAAGACTATGCCGGACTTAGCATGGTGTGGCATATGCATTTAATCCCAGCACTTGCAAGAGAGGGTGAGGCAAGTAGTTCTCCGAGTTTGAGGTTAGCCTGTTCTACAAAGTGAGTTCCAGGACAGCCAGGGCTACACAGAAAAACCCTGTCTTGAAGAAAAAGAACAAAAACAAAAGAAAACCCAACAAAAACATAACACTGTTGCTGAATTAGAAAACGAAACCATATCCCAGGATGAGAGTAGAAAGGGCAAGTGGGAAGAGGGTCACATGTTCAAGAGTCAAGCACACCCACAGCTGTCTGAAAACAGAAATGGAGACATTAAACAGCTGTATGTTGTAGGGACACCTTTAGTTTTTCAGATTTACTGTGAACTCAACAGGGAAATGTCTTTGTTTCTTTTGAATTTAGTTATTGGCTTTAAGAAGTAAGTATAAAAAAATGTAATAGAATTCTTAATTACTAAAACAAGATCTGAACATACATCCTGAAAAAGATCTTCAATATGCTTTTGTTCACTGTGAATATCGGAAAGAGATTAGAACATACGACACTCCCTAAAATACTTAAGCATCTATTGTTTCTTTTGCTGTACAGGACATCCTTGAGGAAATTACTAAAACTTACATTTAAAATTCAAACAAGATTAGTAATTAGTACTTCACAAAACTTCATTGTCTTATTTGAAACATTAAAATATGGTAGTACAAACTCTTTGTCTTTTGGACTACTGAAATACATAGACTTAAACAAACACCATGCCTTCAACTTGACTCCTCCAATGTTCCTGAATATTTTTTGAGATTATATATGTGTGTGTGTGTGTGTGTAGTATATATTTATATTAGTAATATAAATATATATATGTATATATATAATTTGAGATTACACAATCTATAACTTTGTAACATGATAGGAGATTGTAGTGTTGCCTCTGCCTTCTCTTCCCTCCAGACACTTATATATTCTTCCTTTTACTCTTTCAATTCATGACCTCTCTTCCTTAATTTGAAGAGAGAAGATTCATACTTTTTCTTTTGTTCTGTTTTTGAGACAGGGTTTCACTGGCCTCTTTCTGCTTGTCAACTTCTAGAAGCAGCCATGAAACCTTCTGCTGCAGAAGTGTTACATTTTACCCATGGTTTCACAAGGAAGAATGACCTTCTTATATCTTTGCAGACTGAGCCGGGTACTCCAAAAGCAGTCTTTCGAAACCTAGAGGAATTAATCTCCACATTTAAAGCACCAGGTCAAGGACTGGTGGTTCATCTTTCAAACCCAATAATGAAAAGGAACTTCTGCCCAAGAGGGAGAAGACTGAAGTTACAGCTGAATGTTTATGGTAAGAGCCCTGACACTGGGTCAGAAGGGCCCCTAATCCCATAGCCATTCACAGCTACTCTGCAGAGTCAATGGAAATTGATGACTTGTTCTATGACCTTATTCTAAAGACCTTCATCCTATGATTTCTACAATGTCAAGAAACAACACCTTCTAGGCAATGAACATGAAAAAGCACAAGGTTTCTGTGCTAAGACAGCCAGAAAGGAGAGGAGGAAGACCCTGGTGGGGGAAAAGAAGTTATCTTTGAATTCATTCTGTGACCATATGCAGTCCACTAAAGTTGGGAATAAATTTACATGTGGACAGGTTTTCACTGAGAAAATCATGTCAAACCCCCTACCAAGGCTTATTCTGTTAAATTTCCCTCCATTTTTGCTAAGCACACATTTGTAAAATGATCAGGGACAAATTATTTCACATATATCCATAAGGTATGAAGCCCTTGAGAATTATGAAGGAAGTCTATTCGTAGATCTCTCAGATCATATTACAAACTTATCCTCACTTTCATCATCTACCCATTGCACTGTATTTTGAATGAATCTGGCATCTGCCCACTGAGGTAAATTTTGAATTAAGCACAGATGCCAAGAGACATTTCTCTGTTTCATTGTGCACGAGAGAGATTACAGCTGCCTATGGGCAGCATCTGTGCTGACAGCAGACCTGCTAACTAAGGAGAAAGGTGACGGCCCTGAGTTCTCAGGGAGCCTGCAAGCATCTACATCCACTGTATTCTATCTGAGCAGAGTCACTCTCTAGGCTGATAAGGGAAGCTTCTCATTTCTCTAAAAAGGTTAATGTGGCATTTTAATGATTAAAATGAAGGCCGACCCCTGCTCTTCTTTCTGTTGATTCACCACCTTTCAGGGGATGATGTGGGCATTACGATCTCATCATTTTCTGTAGGCCCAGTCACAGATATAGCCCCACTGCCTTTTTCCAACCACATTTATAGATTTATGAAGCATTAAAAGGCCTCAAGAAGTAGCCCAGTTTGTAAAGTACTTGTCTTCCAAGTGTGAGGACCTGAATTTAATCCTCAGAAATGATGGTTTTCAAAATCTGGACATGGTGGCACATGGCTATCATCCCAGTGTTGCAGAGGCGACAACAGGTAGATGTTGGGGGTTCCTTGACCATGAAACCTGGTGAGCTCCAGGCAAGAGGAAGACCCTGGTTTCAAAAAATATGGCAGGTAAAACCTGAAGAACAACATATGGGGTTAACCTCTGGCCTCCACACACAAAGGTACCCATGTGCACATGCATCTGTACACACATGCCTACACACTTACACACAAAAGCTTTAAGGGAAATAAAGCATAAATGTCTCAAAGTCAGATGCTTATGCAAATCAAAGTGAGTTGGTGATAGTGGTTGTTATGGTGATAGTGTTGTTTACACTTTAATAAAATGTTATCAAATCCCTGGAAGAGAAATCCCTAGAGAGATTTTTCCAAAGAACTGGACATGGGTCTGAGTACATCAATTTTGCAAGCACAGCCAGACCTGGTAGTGTATGCCCCAGGTACCCAGTTACTAAATGGGAAATACCTTCCCATGGCTGAATTTCTCATTCCCTTTCTCTTCCCTCCTTGGAACAAGCTTCAAGCAGTGGTACTCTGAGGAAGGCACGGGACTTCCATTGGAGGCAGATATTGAGTCACAGAAACTAAGGCTCCACTTGTCACAGAACCCTTCTTTGTCCACGAAGGCTCCTAGTGGCACTGGAGTCTTGGAAATGTCTCTCTGATGTGGTATTTGCACTGCTTTCTGTCTGGTCTTCTTTCCCTCCAGTGGGGCTGGCTGATGGGACTTCACGGTCTGAAACATCATGGCTGTCCTTTGCTTTTCCCCAGAGAACACAGATGAGGAGTATGTGGACGTCTTGCCTTGAAGACAAGGACATTGGACAAAGCAAGCTAGAGAAGAGATGGCTCTGTTCTCAGCTGCCACATCTATAAGGTGAATCTAAAATGCCAATTTCTAGTGGGCCTCCGAGAGCCTATGATGCAGACAGCAAGATCTGTTCTGCAGCCTTGGAAGAGTCATTTCCCACACACCTGCTTTCGCGCACACTCAAGAGGCTCCAAAGCCACTCTTTACCTCTTACTCCCCTATCTTGAAACTGGACAGCCATAACCCAGTCTCCTGTCTGCTCGGGGGCAGCTCCCCTGCTTCATGGTTGACAACCTCCAACAAGATAATAGAAAGTGAAGCTTCAAGCAGCAGAAAGAATACTCAACAGTGACTTCAGAGTTCCCACCCTGCGACTCTGTGACTTTGGAGAAGTTACCCCCTCATTCTCAGCTTCTTCATTCATCTATTAAACAATTGGTTGATACACATTACCTAGACCCTCCATTGAGCCTGGTTGTGCCAGGTGGAGCAGGGGTCTGGATCTAAGGATACTGAGAGGAAGCAAACATGTCCTCTCCACCTGTGAGGACCTGATGGAGGTTGTGACCCACCCTGTAACTGCAGGCTTTCCCACCTGTGCCCCAGTTCCTGAATGACTCGCTGGCTTGTTATTTATGAAGTAATGCCTAAGCCTTGAGCTAGAATTCTTACATAGATTGTAATTCAATTAACCCATTTATACTATTCTGTCTGGGTACCTCTTCTCAGTTTTATACCTTTGACTTCCTCCCAGGCTGGAAGGCCGCAATTCCTTCCTTGACTGATTATTTTGCAGAGTTCCTCTCTCTGTACCAGATTTTCCACCTTCTAATCCTGCCTCAGATTATTGAACATCAGATTTTATTGTCAGGTGAAACTGCCACACAGTACACAAGAGATTATTCCTACACCTTCCATGTTCCCTTTCTCTCCTACTTGGGTTAGTCTGGTCTCTTTCTAAGGCTGACCTTCTGCTAGACATTCATTCCTCTGGCAACAGTTTTCCTGATCCCAGTTCCACATACGCAGCCATCACTTTGCTAGCTCCGCCTTCTAGTAATGTGATTAGCATACAAAGAAATGGGCATCACTCTGTCCATTTTATACATATAAATCATTATACTCTGGAGTTTTTGTTTGCTTGTTATTGTTGCTCTTTTTGGTATTTTGTTTTTTTCAGACAGAATCTCAGTCTAGCCCAAGCTAGCCTCAAACTGGAGGTAATCTTTCTGCCTCGTCTCCCTAAGTGCTAGGTTTACAGGCACAAGTGACTACATGTGGCTAATCCTTTCTTCTTTCCTGACCTGCTCCATCTTTCCCACCTTGCTGGGACCCTCCTATCCCCAGAGAGAGCCTCTTCAGCCTATATCCCATGCCTTCTCTGTTCTCCCTTCCCCGTTTGAGCTCTTCCTGATTCATAGTGCACTTTCTAGACTCTGACGTCCTCCATATGGATTTGCATGTGAATTTTTTCTAGATTTTGCATATAAGGGAAATGTGGTTTGTCCTTCTGAATCTGACAAATTTTACTTAATATGATGATCTCCAGGCTTGTGCATTTTTCTGTGTGAATGCTATAAGTTCATTACATATGTGTACCAATATGTGGCTATTTTAAAGATGTTCTTGTATGGTTCGTTCTATTCCTGCCTAGGTTCTAAAAGCCATCAGAGCTTGGCTGTGCCCAGCTTATGGAAACAGATGATGCCCAGAAATATATCCTCCCTGAACACAGGAATTAAGGACTGAAAGCCTTTTTCTGAAGGACTGGCTGAGTTAACTTTAAGGCCCCTTGCACTTTATGGCTAGTTCAACATGTTAAACTAAGGACTGGATGGACATGTAACTCAATGGTAGAGAGCTTGCTTAGTATGTGCACAGGCCACAGGGTCCGATCATGAGCATATATAAAATAAACAAAGGAAGTTAATTAAGGCCTGGTTAGAACCCAAGTGTGTTGCTATACATCTGAATCCTAGCTACTCAAGAAGATTAAGAGTTTGAAGTCAGGACCTGTGTTCCAACTTCTGCTTCCTCAAGCAGCATGGTGATGGTAGTCTTTCACGAGGGTCCTAGGGACTAGGGAGACGTCTCTAGATCAGATGGGTGGATCAGTGTATACTGTGCTCATGTTTACTACATCATGAAGCCTTGTTTTTTTGTTTGTTTTTTGTCTGTTTGCCGTACGCTCTGTGCTTTTCTCTGGTTCTTGTGTAGGAAGGAGTCCTTCCCCCTCCCCAAGGTCAAAATGAGGCTGCATTTTCTTAACTTTTATCTTCTACATTTGAGGGTTAACAGTACAGAGGCGTCCCCTTTTTCACTGACATATATCTAGTGTCCAGAAAGCCTTCCACACATGGTAGATATCTGTGAGTAAATGATGAATTTAGGCTTAATCACGTATATCATGAGAAGTACAAACCTAACTATAATTTCCTTTGACTGTATTAAGTCAGTTCCATATTTCACTAGTAAAGTCCTATTAACTAGCAATGCATCTCAGTGATGGATTGGCTTACACATCCGTCTCTGCAATCACACAGGTTTATGGCTCTTTCATTATAAAACACTTATCATACATCATCTGTCATATATAACACAATAGTTTCAGTAGCAAAGCTTTGTTCTATTTTACATCTTTTCCTCTATAAACTGTGGCTTGTTGCTTGCTTTGTAGGGCAAATCCCCCTCTCCAAACTTTTTAAAACTATCTTAGTTTAGCTACTAATCGATCTTCCAATACATTTTAAATTCTATGTTAACTTGGTCGGGATAGTGTGGTAGAATTTTGAATAAAGCTGCCATGTGCGCTCTTAGCTGTTCCTGCCACCATATTTTTGCTCTGCCTTCATGGACTCTAACCCTCAGAAACTTTAAGCTCAATTAAACACTTTCTTTTATACGTTGTCTTGGTCATGGCATTTTGTCACAGCATTAGAAAAGTAAGACAGGAATGCTTAAATTTTTTTTTCTCAATTTAACCTTATTGTTATAGGTTTCTTAGTAAATATTTCTAATCAAGGCCATTTCAGAAGTTTTACATGAAAAAAATTGAAGTCTATTGTGTTACCTTTCTGCATTTAATAAGATTGGCACATTCCTTTTATCTTCACTGTGTTATAAAGTTTAGTTACTAAAATGAATGAAATAGGTATCAAACTATCCTTGCATGGCCTAACATGATCAATTGTTTTAATAAATGATTAGATTTAATGAGTTGATATCTATGATTTCTACATGAGGAGTCACAAAACTGTACTTGCTGCTTTTCCTGTTACTGGAAAAACAAAGTATCTGACAGAACGAACCTAAAGGGAAAAGGGACTAGACAGGCTCATGGCTCCAGAAGTTCAGTTCATCACATGGAAGATATGGCAATGGCAGGGTGTCATGATGCCAATGACTTGGCCAATCTAGAAGCAGAGAAAACTGGATCAGAAGCAAAGTTGGGCAATAAACCTTAAGGACTGCACCAGCCAGGACTTTCCAAAATAGTACTACCAACTGGAGAGCAGGTGTTCAAACACATGAGCCTGGGGCTGGAGAGATGGCTCAATACTTCAAAGTCACTGGCTATTCTTTCGCAGGACAGGGCACTCATACAACAGCTCAGAAACGTATTTAAGTCCAGTTCCATGACCATTCCAGGCACTACACTTTAGTTAAGATTTTCTTCCCTATTATTTTATCTCTCCGTCAGAAATGTCTAGTTAAGAAGTGTTACCTATTTTTTATTTTTTACTCCACAAACTATCTGTGGAAGAATCTTGGCATAAATACTAGCTACTCCAGACAGAGGGCAGCATTTATAAATGCCGTTTTGTTGTAACCTTGGTAGCTGCAAAACCAGACCCATTTCTTTGGCAGGTATTTGCCAGAATTCAATGTTTGACCAGTTGAAAGCTGGAACACCAGGTTCGATAACTAGGTAAATGTAAAAAGCAGGCTCCAGGAGTTTGTAACAGAAGTGCTCCTGTCTCTTGAAGCAAACAGGTCTTTACTAAGCATTTGCTGTATGATACCACCTCCACCGTACACATCACTGGGCTGCAAAGTAAAGCCAGACTGATAGTGAGGCCGGATCTTCTCCTCCCACCTAAAGGACCAAAGGCCGGGGGCCAGGCTGGGGACGCGTGTGTTTAAGACAGGAACTTGGGCAGGAGATTGGGGACAGCCACAATTACCGATGTTCCTGTGACCCTGCAACTGCTCCAACGCCGCCCTCTCTTTGCGGAAACCATACTCCGCAGCCGAGGCCGCAGCCCCGGTGGTTCCCGGAGGCAGGAACTGCTTGAGGGCGCCGGGGGGCGAGCCCGGGGTGCCGCAGCAGCGCACACGGTACACCGAGGCCGAGGAGCCGCTGCCCAGGCGGCTCTGTACCTGCCACAGCCGCCCGAAGGCCTCCAGGAAGCGCGGCGGCTCGGCGCCCCACGCGCAGCCGGACCCCGCCATGGTGCGGGCTGGGGCGAGGACTCGCGAGCCGACACGACGCGCCAGGCAGGCCCGCGGCGCCCGCCGTCACATCCCCGCCCGGACCCGCCGCTCCGCAGGGAGGGGCTCGCAGCGCCCGCACCGACTCCCGGGAACCTCAGGCCGCCATGACACCGGAAGCGGCAGTGCACTCAGACCTAGCAGCCGGAAGTGGGAAAAGCCAATCCTACAGGCTGAAGGAGGCGGGCCTAAGAGGGGCGGGGCTTCCAGGGGGAAAATTTGGTTTAACAACAACAACAAAAAAAAGGACTATGAGATATTTAACTTAATTAATAGAGATGGGGGTGTAGGACAGTAGTAAATTGCTTACCTTGCATGTGCAAGGAAGGCCCTGGATCTAGCAACACATATGGTGATTATTGGTTTTCATTTTGTTTTATTTATCTTGTTTTTAAAGATTTATTATATTTGTATTTGTATGTTTCTGTGTTCATGTCACAAGTGTGGTCAAAAGTCCGAAGAAGGTGTGATAGCCTCTGGTGCTGAAGTTACATGTTTGAGTAACGG